TTATGGTGACATCTCACTGGGGAACCCCTTGCCGATTTCGGCTCGGGGTGTAAGGCGTGATTATCTTGCAGTTGTCGTCATATCGTGCAACGGATGTATATAGGCGACCACATAATTCACGAATAGCAATTTCAGGAAGAAGACTATTCTGCAGTATTGATACCCAAGCCCAAGAAAACACTTAGCAAAATGCCGACCGAGTTCATCAGCGTAACTTTCCCCAACGCCTCAACGGAGATCAACCCGATCCCTGGTGCTGGCGTTGATCCCGAGTTCCTAGTCCGCTACGCTAAGAACTTGGACGACTACGGCTTCAACTACACACTCGTTCCTTACGGCTCAAACTCATTTGATCCCTTCACAATCGGTGCGACCATCGCAGCGGTCACCAAGAACGTCAGCGTCATCATCGCCTTGCGGCCAAACACCCTCTACCCCACCGTTGCCGCAAAGGCCCTGGCAACACTCGACCAACTCAGCAAGGGCCGTGTCGTCGTGCACTTCATTGCCGGTGGAAGCGATGCAGAGCAAGCCAAGGAGGGTGATTTCCTTTCCAAGGACGAGAGGTATGGCCGCCTGGAGGACTACATCAAGATTCTCCGCCGAGCGTGGGAATCACCGGAGCCCTTCAGCTGGGAGAGCAAGTACTACACCTTCAAAGACTTTCACAGCAGCGTCCGCCCGACAAAGGGCACAATTCCTGTTTCCGTTGGCGGTTCATCCCCTGAGGCCTACCGCATTGGTGGTTCCCTCGCCGACATTTTCGGACTCTGGGGTGAGCCGTTGAAGGAGACAAAGGAACAGATTGACCGCATCTACGCCGAGGCCGAGAAGGCCGGCCGCAAGGACCGGCCCCGCATCTGGGTCACCTTCCGTCCCATCATCGCCGAGACGGAGGAGCTTGCATGGGCCAAGGCACACCGCACGCTCGATGCGCTCAAGGGAAATATTTCTGCCGGACAGGGCAAGCCTGGTCAGAACGGACCCGAGCCTCAGAATGTCGGCTCGCAGCGTCTGCTTGACATCGCTAAGAAGGGCGAGGTTCAGGACCGGGCGTTGTGGTACCCCACCGTCACTGCGACTAACGCTCGCGGAGCTTCTACGGCGCTGGTAGGATCTCCCAAGACCATCAACGACTCCATTTTGGACTATGTCGATCTTGGCGCTGAGTTGATTTCTATCCGTGGATATGACAACCTCAACGATGCTATTGATTATGGTCGCTATATTCTGCCTGCGGTCCGCGAGGAGTTGAAGAAGCGTGAGAACGGCACCAATGGCACGAATGGGGCTTAGATACTTGATAATTAGCGCTTGTGTAATTTCTAGGGTCGCGTGTATATCCTTTTAGGCAAGCGAAGCCATATTAATAGGTAGCCAGTCCTGAAAGTAGATGAAAATTACATGGGACATCAGAGATGATAACCCCAGAAGGAGCCATGAAGTGTAGTGAACAGGATCAGTCAAGAAATGTACAGTTTCATTATTGAGACATTTTCCCATTCCATCGTAATTCGTGTTATACTTCATGACCACATCCCAACCCTATGTGATGTAAACCGGCAGACGGCTTCCAAATATCTCGCTCTTCTCAACTTGGATATCCTTACCATGGAAATCATGCAGAAGCAACCAGCATACCATGCGGAAGACAAGCATGCACCACACATCATTGATCTGCTGTTGCTGGTCATGGGCGATCACCTCTGTGGAAGCATCAGAGATGATCGATCTAGCTCCACGCTCTTTACGAGCTTTATCAACCCGCAGCTGTTTGCAAACAACATCAATGACCCGCTTGCGCACCGAGAGAAGGTAAATTTCGGCTAGAACACCATGCCTCTCGCTCGAAGACGCGGAATCCAGCTTCTGAAGGAGTGATATCTCCTTCTCGATATCCTCGTTCTCCTCTCGCATCCTCAAGATAGGGGATGCTCCTGGAACAACAAGGTCGTGTCTTGTGTCCCTCTTTGACCGAGCTTGATCTCCTGTAGTGACCACAACCGTCTTGTATTCCCCTTCTTTGTCGTTCAAGATACGCAAGATTTCTTGCAGGTGCACGCGGAGCACGTTTTGGACAAGGTTTATCTTCTCTTGATTCTGAAGGAATTCGTCGCATTTCGAAATGGCCGAATGCAAAGCCATGACGAGGTCATTGGAGTAGATTCTTTCCTCGGTGTTGTTTGTTCGTCTCAGAATCGCTTCCGGGCCGTCACGAGATTCGAGCTCTTCGAACTTGTCTTCGATTTTGCCGGCTTCTTTGAGAATTACGCTAATTCGAGATCCTTCTGTACTTCTGAGCATCGGTTCTGTTGCTGCCGACTCACCCACTATGTGGACGTAGTCGCTGAGGAAAGTCCTCAGTGAAAATGACTTCCGGTCCCAATGCCAAATGGTTGGGTTGGGAAGCATGCGGAAAGCCGTGCCGGGGATCTGTAGGACGGCACCCACCATGCCTAGGATCTCAAAAGCAACTAAAACGTAACAGTCAGTATTCGAATCTCGTGAATATAATGATTCTTGGCAAGACTTACTTGGGAAGAGATGGATGTGTCTTGTATCTGGAGTAGACTTTCGAAAATGCCGGACAGTGTTAGTGTTGCAACCAATCACCACTAGAGTCTCTGCAATGGCCGACATGCTGCCAAGCTGTAGCGTTCCGATATCCTTTGGTTCGTCAGCGTACTTATAGTTGTCGTTGTTCTGCTGGCGGAAAATCGTCGGACAATAACCAAAGCAGAGCTCCTTGACCTTATTGTTCGGCACTACCCTGTTCTCGTGAAACCAAGTCGGACCAGTCTTCTCGAATGTAAACACAACACCGAGATCGTCGACGTCGTAGCCGGTGATGCTGAACCCATTGCCCTGCCCTCGGTAACGGTCTTCGTTTCGGTTAAACTCTTTCCAATGAACGCCTAACATTGCCGCCATTTCCACCAGATGTGAGATCGTTGTCGTTGCGTAAGGTTTCTTCATGTTGTCTGGCATACTATCCCAAGACTTCTTCTTCCTCTGCATGCCAACGGTAAGAGTGTAGGGTACCGTGGTGCTGGCCTGGGTCGGGTGACACGGTGTCTGGGCTTCCCATTGAGGGTTGTATCCGAAATACTCCTTGTCCTGCCATGTTCGAGACTCCCTCTCCATACGCTGAATAGCCATGAGCAGACTCGTCCAGTTTGCGAGCTCGTTGTCGGCGGTGTGGATAGCTTGGCGCGTCATCCCAGCCCTCAAAGTTTTGGAGTGCTTGTCGTACTCTTCCTGGTCCCAGGTATACGTTTTCTTGTAACTATCTGTTGTTCCGGTCATGTAGGTAATCTCCTTGTCGTCGTGCACGCCGAGGGGTCCCCGCGGGTTCGTCGGCGGCGCAACGAATATGACGGGAACTTCAAATTCCACCTCAAAGCGGAACTCGTACCATTTGAATCGTCGTCGTGTGAACCTCGCCCAATCTCCCATGACTTTTGGAGTGCATGATGAGTAGCCCGTTGCCGACGCGTAGTATTGCTGGAGGGCCTGGAAAATCGCAATGATGAAGGCGAGAACTGAAATGACCAATGCCACAACCGCTACGATCAACTCAACTTGGTTGTCATTGTTGTCACTGTCGCTGCCGGATGAGCTTGTGGGGTCAGATGACGACATATTGGCGAGATCCCTCAACTTGGATGCAGGCAGTTGACGTTGCTCCTCTAGGCACTCGGAACGATTGTGAAAAGGGACATTGAGCCCCCAAGATACAAATAAAGTGAGTATAGTGACTAAAACTCTCTTGAAATATCGAAGGAGAAAGAGATTAGCAGAGAGCCTGATTTATCAAGGGCTTTCTCCAGTGCTGGCAGCCAGCCTGATCCGAGCCTGGCTGAGACAAAATGCTAGGCAGCCAAAATCAGCCCCTGCGCAGGAGCAAGTATCACGTGTAACCCCTGCAGTTCTCCATAATGGAACAAGTGCAACAAATGATTCAAATTGTCTTGGGAGACCGGGGCCGTAAGGCTCTCCCGCTCGCTGGAGCGTGCTGGTCATATGAACTGCTAGCGGATATGCTAGTGCTGAAAGTTGTTGACATCTCATTCGATCATCTGTGCCAAGTTATAGCTAGACTAAGGTTCGCCCCGACGCCATCTACCAGTCTAGTGGAATTAGCAAAGCAGGCCCGGAACCCTATCGCTTCATCCCAAGATTTAGTTACACCTCGAAAGGAAAACAAAAAGAAAGCGGGAGCCATTCTCCAATACCAGGACATTGAATGCTCAACATTGGAACAGCAGGTCTGGAAGACTTATTCCAGCAACTCAGCCCCGGAGTAAGCACTAGACACAACGGCCAGCTGGCTGAAGTCATCGTCCCAGCTGGTTGGCTAAGACGGTCGATGCGGGGCCTCGGTCCCCTGTTCGCAAGAATCGGTAGTGGTCATCATTGGGTCGAGTAGCACATCCTTGCGGCGGGACATGCTGACATGCAGAAGACGGCACCGCTATTCCGGCCCAGCCCTCTGGCGCACACATGATTTTCCATTTCCCATCCCTCCCCTGTCTGCCGTCCCTCTGTCCGTAACTCTCACAGGCCATGAACGGCTGTGCCTGTAATCATTTTCTGAGAAATGATCATGGCGAGAATTCGAGGCACTCGAGAATAATTTACCTATCAGATTTCCCAGGTGAAAGTGGGCGAGCACCTCCTGAAATACGACGTTTCTAGCGATAGGCAGGGTTGACAAGTCATTGCAAATGTAACAGCAGGTTGCACCAGTCACAGAAGTAAAACAAACTCTCTGCGCCGCCGAACCCAGGGAATTTGAGTGAGTAGAGGAGCTATCAGCCAATGAATATCTCGACAAGACAGTTGTCCAAACTCCCCTCGTCTTTTCCTTCGTCTTCAAGTAATCCATCTTTCGCCACGCTCATCAAGAATATTGCTGTAAAATAGCATCCGCTGCCTGTGTAAGAGAAGTCAGTCAGCACTAAAGTCACTGCACTAGTCTCGCTCACATTCGAGCCATCTCATGCGTAGGGGCGCAATTTTACCTTTTCAGCGATTGCATAGACCGTCGCCTGGTTATGCGCCGATGGAAGTAAAGGCATGATACTAGCATCGACTACCCTCGAGCCATCGATCCCATGCACATTAAGGTTGGAATCCACGACACCACCAAGTGGCCTGGGAAGCATAGCGCAGGTCCCAGTATAGTGATACTCTGTAGCGCTGACTCCTTCAACGAATTCCAAAATGTCAGAGTCGCTCAGGGCAATGACCCAAGGCAGCGTTTCCGTTGCTCCAAGAGCTTGGACTTGCTGCGTGGCCAGGAGTTTCGGTTGACCGTAGTGACTCAACCTCCATTTGCCCGTCGTAAGAGTAGGAGAGACAGCGAGGTTCAATGACTGGGGGCGCGAAGGGGTCGATGAGGTTGATTCCAATAGCCTAACGGCTTGAGGGGTGCATCAAGATATTCACTGCTGAGCGTCCACCGTCCCCATAAAGAAGCTCCATATCGGCCGTGGAATTACGTTGGTGCATTTGCAGAATTTGCTGGACGTGTTTCGAGTATCCGTCTTCAACGGCTTGGTCAGTATTCTGTGTGAGGTACTGAGCGGTGCCACTGTTGATAGCAGATAGTAGTTTGCCGGTGATATCCGACTGGGTGAAGCTTGAGAGAGGAACAAACGCGAGTGCTTCTGTAATGGTATCCGTACAGCGCCTTAACAATTCGAATTTTAGACGAAACTGCAGTTTTTCACTTGCAGGACTTACCTCTTAGTTGCGAGTAATAGAGATCTCTTTGCTCAGCATCAAATGTTGAGTTTACCAACTCGTAGTTCTCGGGTATCCCAGTACTTAGTGCTCGCTACATGTCAATTAAACCAGCCATGCAATGACTTCTACATCATTGAGGACTTGCCGGTAGGCTTACAAGAAGCAAGCGTTAGCCCGAATGGATGATCTCGCAGGCTTGCGCCAACGCTGTTAACGGAAATTTGGACGTATTACTCTTGACATTCTGCCTGATTGCCAGAAGCTACTTAATGAAGTAAGGTATTTTCGCAGAGTCTCTATCTCATCGACTTTAGCTGTGAACATTATTTGCGCCCAAGAAATGGAACACGTGAATTAATGATGTTAGTACTAGACTTGGCTGGCTCTACGTCTAAGCTGAGAGGCCCTTTCTAGACCAATGCTCCCACATTCACGCAACCATGCTAAAATACAGCCTTCCCTCATTGGACTTGACTACCCTCGGCCAGCTCTTGGCCTTTGCGGCACATGAAAGATTGTGACTATGATCAAACCGCTGCTCGGAGTGTTCGTTGAGAAGGATGTATGCAAATACACAATTATACTTTCAGAGTATTGTTTGGAGGCAAATGTTGGCTAACGTTTCCTGGATGTGTGTGCCTTAGCAATGCAATTTGCTTCGTAGCCACATCCGAATCAGGTCGCATATGTGTTCATCGTGGAGAACCAAGCCACCCGTGAGTGAGTCAGAAGGCCACCAAGGAATTATCAGAGATATAGCATCAATAGCTGAGATACACTTATTTATATTTGTTCCTTTAATTCCCGCTACTTTAGCTGTTCAGGACTTGCGGGAAATATAGGTACTTGGGGATCTAGGGAGTGTTCCCTCATCGTTTCACCAGGGTATGGACCCGGAACCTTCCAAAACAGAATAGACTAATATTTTTGGTAAATGTATATGATCAAAGGTGCAGATCGTCTAGACCAAATGCTTATCGAATGCACAATAAGCCCTTCATCATAAGTTCCGGTGGATCATCGACCAACCTCCAAGATCGCCGACTACCTCAATGTAACATGCTAACAAAAGAATGCCAACACGAAATAGGTAAACAATCAAATACGGGCTGATGTTAACCTGTGATCCATCGCAACGATGCTGTCATTACCCATGAAGGCAAGGAAGTGACTGGAGGCACCGATGAGACCAGCGCCTCTTTTCGGCATACAATCTCGTGATTATCTTAAAAAGTACCCGTGGCGATCTTTGCGTGCATGTTCAGATACGTCTTCATGATTGGACTAGAAAACGAATAACCAAATGAAGCTGCAGTCAGCATGAGCCTGGCCAATGAGCAGACAGTCCGAAGCCCCCACTGGCTGCTGCCAAGTGATGCATCAGAACTGAAGAGAATTAGAGTGCGGCTTACCTTACGTTGTCTAGGATGACTAAATAGTCTAAAACTGCCTTGCTACTTGCAGCGCGCGCGCAACCAAGTGGATTTTGCCGCCTGCTCTGCTTACTCGATCTCTTTCGCCCCACGTCTCCGTGATGTCCGGCACTGAAGACAGAGGTGGGTATTCTGATACTTGGATATTGGGACAATATGAATAGGTCTATTCGACAACATCCAAGACTGGGGCTCTCTCTTTCATTGTTGATTCAGAAGCAATATATTATGCTAAGTCCGTCTCGCTTTTCTACGACGACACATTTCCTGAATCTTCTTCGCAAGCTTTTCGGTGGGCTCATAGTTAACATAGCCATCGTGAACATTCTCACTTGACTTAAAACACTTTATCCAGAAATAAGTTTCACCATGGGACGTCCGCCAACTAGCGGCTACTGTCATACCTGTCGACGAAGACGGGTCAAGTGTGGTATGTCCATCGTGCTCTTTCTGTGACAATTCTAGCCTGTCCAGCTCATAAACGGTCATGTCACTTACACGCACTTGAAAACACTTAGACAAAGCTCGACCTGCATGTGAGAGATGTCTCAAATCCGGCCACAAATGCCTGGGCTACGAGTTGCCGCTCCGCATGCAAAACTTTGCCGCCACTGGCGATGCTGGTGGTAGTCAACAACTAGTCAGAGTCTCAAACACGAGCTCGAGCACTGTTATTCACCAGAACATCGTCCCAGAGCTCCCGTTCACAGCTTTTCGTAACCGCATGGCATTTTCCCATCTTGTAGCTCACTACCGCTGGGCTCCGTTTTGGAAACCTCTCTTTCGAATGTCATTAGACGGAGAATTAGATTCAGATGTGGCCAGAGCCGATTATACGGGAAGCCTAGCGACTGCGCTCGGCTTCATGGGAAATTCTGTCAACGAGCCGAGCATGGTGGCCGAGGGCTACGAGTTGAATGGCAAGGTAATCAGAGCGTTGCATCACGCTGTGTCAGCGAAGTCCAATCAGGAGTTGGCGAGGTGGGCCTTCACAATCATTATCCTTAGTCTATACCAAGTAAGTCTTTGAAAAGGAACTTCGGTCAAGAGCACGCGCCTATTGTCACAGTCCCTATTCTAACAAATACAGTATGCGGTAGAGAACGTGCCCAACGTTCCTCACTATTACGGCATGTCGAAAATTATAGAAATGTGTGGGCCAGAGTGCTTTCAGCAAGAGCCAATGTTGACCTATCTACGCCAAATTCGGGCACTTCATGTAAGAGAATTCTAGGCTTTGTTCTTTGACTTCCTGAATACTTGTGGCCTCCACATGTACTGACAGAATTGACTGTGGCGTCAGGCGTGCAATTCCTTCAATGAACATGATCACTCTTTTTTTGAAAAAACGACGTGGAAAACTATCCCATGGCGATACATACCCAAGACCTCCCACGACCTGCTGATGGACCATTTTGTCGATATTCCCGGTCTCACTCTTTCCATCGCATCACGCAATCGACCGTTATTCAACAACGAGATAGAGGCCGCCCGTGACAAAATCGATCAGCTTCTAAGGGATCTACGTGACTGGAGATGGCGCTGGAAGTGCGACAATCCAGATGCTGCAAGAGAAGCTGATATGCCTCTTGACGGAGAGATTGAAGACATTTCATTGACTTGGGCCAAGACGTTGGCGTCTAGGCCAATCGAGGTGAAGACACCGGAACAGGCTGCCGAGCTCATCATCTACAATGCTTCAATCACGCAGCTAATGAATTTGCAAGTTTTGTTGGACACGGGCACGCGGGATCCAATGCCATTCCCTGAAAATATCGACAAAGCCGTGCTCAAGCCAGCGGAAGATCCTCTTTACACACCGAATGAAGTTAAATATAGGTGGCAGCCGTCCATGGAGGGCTTAAGGCTCATGAGGCTGGCACCGAAGCTATTATCTGTCAGCAACGGTACCTCAGTTATGCTTGCTGCATCTCCAATTGGAATCATATATAACTCTCTACTTGCTACGGAGGGTCTTGGAAATCTATTTCTGTCAACGATGGCGGTGCCGAGCGATTATGCAATCACAAAAAGAGAGCTTTCTGTCTTTCGCTTATGGTAATTACATGGGAAGATATTGATAGGAAACAAAGAGAAAGGGTCATCGAGGCATGACATACAACTCTAAAGAGCCACCATAATGAACAAAGTGTAAGAATGCAGGCTGAACACATCGCCGATCATCATAGCTCATCGCACGACGTTTTCGACCGTCAAAAACCAAAAGATTGCGTCGAGGGGGAATCGAACCCCCGGCTCCCCGACGCTGCTGGATGGCAACGGAGAATTTTACCACTAAACCATCGACGCTGATGATGTGATGACCTTTCCCTCTGCAGTATTGTCTGTGAAGCCTGGAGCAGCGCCCTACGATTTTTCTCCAGGTTGTCGCCCAGCCTCGATCAGCCTCCTCTTTGTCCGGCCATCGAGGACTTCGAGATTCCTTCAGATGCTTCTGACCTGCTGCTTAGTCGTTGGTGCTCTGATTTCCGTTCAAGGAGTTGGCCCACTCCTTCATGGAGGCCTTCGTTCTCGCAACCAGTTTTTCTCGCCATCCGCCTGCCGCATCCGCTGTCCACCCAAGCAGGCCGTAATTCCAAGCCAACAGTCCTTCAGCGCGTGCGCCATCCGGATGATCCAACAGCCCAACTGCGATGTCAACCATGTCTTCACGGTCGTAAACGGCGTAGAATATGCTGGCTGAACACACTGAACAGGAGTACCGCTCTACCTCGGGAGAGCTATTGTAAACCGCCAATGTTCCGAGGCGTGGGTCTTTGGTCTTGGATAGAACTGCTTCTTTGAGCTTAATGATCGTCTGTGGGAATTGAGACGGCGCGGATGCGGCCTCAGTGCTGAACTTGATGTGTGTGAGAGGAGCAAAGGTCCACGCGATGATATCTGAGCCGAAGTGTTGGCGGCAAGAGTTGCACGAATCGGAACATGCCTTGAACTTGAGCGTCTTGGGATCCACACATGTCGAGGTCGATTCCTTCGCCGGATCTGCCTCCAAGTCCGCCGCGCTTCGCAGCGATAGCCGGACGCCCTTGCAGTGGCAGTGGAACAGGGTCGACGTTGGAAAAGGGCTAGCATTCAGCCGAGCGGTAGGGATTGACTTGCTGACCGGCCAGTCGAATGGAACCTCTTCGCTGTTGCGATGCTCTTTCCAGCGCTTAACCGGGTCTCCATTCTCTTCTTTCGGAAGCCATGGCGCAAGGCCACCATCGATGGTGTCGCTGATGAACATATGATTGTCATATTTGACAAGACCAGGAATGTTCTCCAAAGCGCCGGTTGTGACATAAGGAGCGATGCTGGGATTGTGACCACGGGCGAAGAGTTGTGACGAGCAAGTACCGCACGAATAAACATCAAAGTGTTTCGAGAATGGATATTTCCGCAAGCCAGATAGGTCTACAGAGGCGTCTGGCCACGCGACGGCAGGATTGTAGAGAGATCCAGTCAGTCGGCGACACGACGTACAGTGGCAGCAAGACGCGTTGAGCGGCAGTGCGGATTTCGGCAGTGAAGCGGAGAATGTGTGTACTTTACACATGCACTGTGCCTTGATAGTGACTGAGTCGTCCATTGTCGTACGGAAAAGGTTGTGATCCTCGAAAAGTTTATGATGTTGAGATGAACCAAGTTAAATGTTTCTGGAGAATGAGGGATATAGATTCGATGAACGACTTTTCAATTTTGTCAGTACTTTTAGGCTGCCATTCGTTGTACAAGGGCGTGAATGACAAGCTAAACATCTCACCTAGTGACAGTGCACCACCTACGTCACCACAACGGGCACAGGGGTCTCATCTCAGTAGCTACATTACGCGCCAAGATACAGTTCAAGTAAGACTCGATAGACATGGAACAACAAGCCGCCGACTCATGCTGCAACCACAATACCTCCCGCTGACAGCTTGCATATTGCTCTAGGCATCTCTATTCTAAACGAGTCCGATCCCGTAACTTCACAATTACAAACAAGGCATCCGGCTCACTCACGTCCTAGAAAACGTGCCCCCGACAACTTGAACATCCTGGGCTCGACGCGTGGCCGGCAGGAAACCCACCCTCACAAGAGCTTCCACGTTCTTCTTCGAAGCCACCTTGAGCTGCAACGGACACATATCGTGGCTTTCGGTCACCTCTTCCCATTCCATGCTACCATCTTCGAGCAGGTGAGCCAGCGGCCAAAGGGGATGCTCCTCTTTCCGATTCGAGATATCGTTTCTGACTGTTGATAGCCATTTGGCAGCACGTGTTGGACGGATGTCGTAGCCCATGCCTTTGATCAAAGTCCAGAACGTCCCCCAAGTCATTCCTTCTTCATGCTGTGTCACCGGACTAGCAGATGATTCTGGATTGAATGCGATGCGAATGGCAGCTTCCGAAGTTGTAGCAGCATCCGAGAGATGCAGCCATGCCTGCTCCTCGTCCGCATTATAGATGCCCATCTCAATGTTTGCAGCCGTGAGCCTCCAGATGTAGTCGTCCAAATTTGCTACACCTTCTGCGGGCGTCCCGATGATAAGCCCAGGCCTGAAGACGCCGATATTCCGCTGTGAGACTGGACATCGTTCCGCAGCTCTCTTGACGAGAACCTCAGCAACGAATTTTGTCTGGCTATAACCCATAGAGTCCGATAGCTCTCGCGCGATGTCCTCATCCCGTTCTTCGGCACTCTTCCACTGTCGTCCACCAGACACGTAAGCAAATCGCAAAGCAGGATTCTGAACAGCAATGCCCAGGAGCTGAACTGTTGAATGGATGTTGACCGCCTCCAAGGCAGCATAACTTTTGTTCCAATGGACAATCGCACCGTTGTGAATGATGATATCGAATGTGTGTCCATCGCTTAGCAAGTCCCATCGTTTCTGGTCAAGGCCGAGCATAGTCTGCGTGAGATCCCCCGTCCAGACGTCCAGCTTGTCTTCGTGGAACTCGGTCCACCAAAGAGCCTTTTGCGCAGCCTCAATCACGCGACCTTTCGCTGCTTGGAGTGTCGCTCCGCGTACCAGAGTGGTGACACGGGCAACATCGCGCCGCTCCAGAAGTTTTCGCAGTATCTGAGTACCCAGGTATCCGCTTGCACCAGTAAGGAAAACCCTGAGATTATTTGTCTTCTTGGTCAAACTACTTTGGACATCTCTAGACAATATGCCTGGAAGTTCCTGAAGCCCCGCGTCAAGACGATCAATTTCACTCATCAAATCGATCCGCCGAGTCTCAGAGTTGCTGTTCGAAGATGTCAAAGTTACTGGGCCCTTGGAAGCAGCACAGGTGATGAAAGCTGCCAGCTTCCTGATGCTCATTTGCTCGTCCATGAGCAGCTGCATGCTGACTCTGACACTGTACTTCAGACGAACGAAGTGCATGAGCGACATCATGTTGAGAGAATCTAGACCGGAAGTCTGTAACAGCACATCGTCAAAATCGTCTAGTCGGGGCCTTGACGAAAGGGTCTTTCGAGACACCAAATCTGTGACCTTTTGTGCCAGCTCGTAGGCGGGGAGCTCGTGAGGTTGAATGGTTGCCACTGTACTTGGTATCGGTGCAGAAATGTCGAGGATCTGAGATTCTCTGACGGAAAGATTTCGGACCCATGTTGTGACTTTATTCCTGTCAACCTTGCCTGAGGTCGAAAGTGGAAATCTTTCCTCAGAGAGGGTTGCAACGTCAATGAAGTGTGCCGGGAGCATGATGCTCGGAAGCTTTCCGGTCAACTCTTGACGAACTTCCTCTGCAATGATATTAAATCGAGTCATGATATGTTGGAGACCAGGCCGTCCCTCGCCATCTTCTTCTTCGAGCTCCAGAACCGCCACAAGTTGTTCTGAGAATGGTCCCGACGAGGGAAAGACAACAATACCGCGCTTGACGGAACAGCAACCAGCGATGTGCGACTCAATATCTCCGAGTTCGATTCGCTGGCCGTTCAACTTGACTTGGAGGTCCTTTCGTCCCACGTACACCAGAGTTCCGTCGACGGCTCTCCTCACAAGATCCCCAGTCTTGTACAATCTATTTGTACTCATGCGATCCTCTCTAGATATCCATGGTAGTCGCGAGAGAAACGTTACAGCTGTTTTCTCACAGTCATTCAAGTAGCCATCGGCTAGAGTCGGACCACCTATGAGCAGCTCGCCAACCTGTTCACTTGGAACCAACACCGTGTCATCATCTGCGGCAACAACCCATGCAGAGCAGCCGACCGGGTTTCCGATGGATTTCGGGTCCGTATCGTAGGTGCATGAATGGCAAGCAGCGATGACGGAGCATTCACTTGGGCCGTATGCGTTGAAGAGAGTCAATCCGGCGTCAAGCCATTTCTTGATCAAGTCCTCATCAGGAGCCTCTCCGCCCAGAACTAGAGTTTTCAAAGACGGCATCTCTGTTGGACGAATGATGCGAGCCACCGATGGAGTCAGAAGCGCGAGGTTGACGCGCATGCGGCTTGCAAAGTCTCCGAGATTCTCGAAGCGCTCTTTCTCAGTGGCGACACAGACGGTTCCGCCGTAGATTAGGGTGGTGAGAATCTCAAAAAGGCTGGCGTCAAAACTGTATGCAGAGAACTGCAAGACACGATGCTCGTCGCTCATACCGAAGACGGAACCATGGGCCATCGCGCTGGAGGCAAACGCGGCATGAGAGACGACGATGCCCTTGGGATCTCCCGTCGAACCAGAAGTGAAGATGATGTAGGCAGGACTGTTGGGTGTCACTTGAGCTGGTGGTTGCCGCGGATGCTGAAGCCTGGATATGTCGCCAAGAGCATCGCGATTGACGATCACGGACGCAACAGCACCAAGATCAGTTGCCTTCTGTTGGAATGCAGACGTAAGAACTGTTTTGGCTTTGACTTGCGTAACAACCTTTCTTAGACGTGATACGGGCTGGCTCGGGTCTAGGGGCACGAAAGAAGCTCCGGCTTTCAAGACCCCAAGCATCGCAACGACAGTCCAGACAGATTTCTCGAAACACAGTGGAATCTTGTCTCCCTTCGAGACTCCCTTTTCGGCAAGTTGGACGGCAAGTGCCGTCGACATATCTTCCAGCTCCTCGTAAGAAAGCGACTCGGCTGTTGAGACAACTGCCTCTCTCTGGGGTTCTGTCAGACTCCTCTTTGTGATGAGTTGAT